TCTTCTAATGTAAAAGGCTTTACGTCCAAAATAGTGAATAGCAAGTAATAGCCGATCATTCACATGGTATAAAATTTCACTATTGCAATGACTTGTAGATTAGTAAATCCATTTCCTTTCCTTAGTTTCCTGCTTTTCTAGTCCAAATTTCTAAACAATCAAAACATACTATTGTTCCATTTCAGGTAATTTGCTTTAGACTTATCGCAGAATGAATAGCTGTCACTAAACTTATTAACGTTAATCGTTTATTTCAGTAATTCCCCGGTGGAACAAGAAACAATACCGATTAATCCAAACAATTGGTTAAACACAGCCAAAATCCTATTAAGTCCTCCTTCCGGATTAGAAATCTACGCGATCCCAGGTAGGTCTGATCTGAACCAGACTGTCAGGAAATGCTGATCATGTCAAAATGTGCTAATGAAATTTGTTTGGCGTCACTAGCAACTGTTCGCGAGAGGGCGCCACAAGAAAGGTCCAAAACAGGCTTCTACCACGCATAAGAATTCTCAGTCCAGATAAATGATAGAGAGCTCGGGCTGCTTTTGTTTTGCAGTAAACACCTATGCCTAGGAGTTGACAGAGCGCTATTTTTGAATTTCTCATCTGCTGATTTCTGGTGCTTAACAGGATGTTAAAGTCTGAAAAATCCTAAGAAAGTTTCTTAGAAATCCGCATTTCTATAAAAAATAGAAGCATATATTGAAAATCGGACTCTGTCAACTCCTAGCTATTGGTGTTATCTACAAATCAAAAAACAATTTCTTTCTTCGATGTATCGTTACCGAGAATTTCTGTGCGTGGCGAAAACCCTGAAGCTAAAAATCAGCCTTGAGAAAAACACAAAATAAGTTTGAGGGGACCTTAAGTTTACCATATTCAACAGCCCGTAGTCCTTCGAATAGTAAATATCTAAACTGACGGAAAATCAGAATATCCACTGGGATTTTAGTTATGCTTGTTATATTAGTTCTACACAGTCATTAGTTGACACGCAATGGCTGATCTGTTGATGTTTTTTCCTTTCAGGTGATAATCCATCATCTTTACCGACTTGTTTTGCTAAAATCAAAAAATATGATCAAGGTCATGATGTATCATCTATTGTACCAGAACGTCAGACTTGGTTTTCCTGGGAAGATGATCTGAATTTGGAAACACTTTCTCTGTTATGGTTGGATGAAAACGTTCAACAAACAAATGATAATAAACTTACACAAGAGAAATTGCGAACCGTCATTAACTGCCTAAAGATGTTTAATAAGGAAGCTGAATGTAAAGAATATATTCAAAAAGCTAAACAAGAAAAAATTGTTTTAGTCGTATCGGGCAGACTTGGTCAAATAGTAATTCCAGCTATACATGCTTTACCACAGATGGCTGCCATCTATATTTACTGTCAAAATAAACTCCTCCACGAAAAGTGGTCCGAAGAATATCCTAAAGTAAAGGATAAGTTTGAATAACATCTGGAAACAATAAAACCAGCAGTGACAAACTATCTTGATTCTTTTAGATAAACAAAGTGATTTGTAACCCGAGTGAGTTGGTTAGCAGAATACAAACTGATCAACATCAACGTAATAAATTTGATGATACACTACCATTGAATATCTATGTTCGTTCAGAGCAGCAACCAACAGACGGATCTGTGATAAATCTTGATAAAGAAAATGCTGAGTTTATGTGGTTTCAATTGTTCATTGATACTCTATTACGATTAAAATATAGTGATGAGAAGAAATACGCAAGTGTTACTAAACTTGTGTGCAAGTTAAAACAAAATTATAAAGATGATCCAAAAGAATTAGAAATCATTGATGAATTTGCACGAACACATTTTTCAACGAATGCTGTTCGTTGGTACACCAAAGAATGTTGTATTTATCGTCTTTTGAACAAAGCTTTGAGTATAAAAAACATTGATTTTTTATTTGAATTTCGTTTTCTTATCCATGACATTTATGACCAATTAAAACTTGCGCAAGAATACGGGCTTCGTGATATAACTAATTCAATAACCTTCTATCGTGGACAAATAATATCAAATGATGAACTGGATCGAATCAAAAATAGTATAGGAGGATTTATATCAATGAATAGCTTTCTTTCTACAAGTAGAAATCAACAACAAGCAATATTATTTGTGCAGACTGCTACAAAATCAAGAAATTTTCAACCAGTATTATTCAACATAAAAGTCAATCAAAATGCGACAACAAAACCATTTGCTGATATATCATGTTTAAGCACGATTCCGAATGGAAACGAGATCTTATTTATGCTAGGTAGTGTATTTCGAATTAAAAATGTCGGCTATGATCGTGAGCATCATCCTTATGTTGATTTGGAATTCGATGATTATAATTTGACGAGCATTTATTTTAAACAAAATAAAATTGATGACGAAACAAATCTTCTAACATTGTTTCATCTTCTTTTTAAAATGGGTGAATATAATAAAGCTGAGTCATTTATTAAACGAGTACTAAGTGAACCCGACGAATACGAATATGCACCAAAATTAACGATTGAATGTTATAACGGTCTTGGTCAAATAGCTGAACAAAAAAAAGATTTCAAACAAGCATTGCACTATTACTACAAAGCTTTAGATTTTATTAAAAATAGATCACTATCACTAGTTCATCCTTTGATTGCTCGGAGTTTCATTCAAGTTGGTTTGGTACATTTCACAAACGGTAATATTAAACTAGCTAATGACTATCTCAATATAGCGTTATATATCTACAGCACGTTAACAAAAGATGCTGATCGCGATTTAGATGTTGCCAAATGCTACTATAGTATTGGCGATATCTATAATAAAGCGAAAAAGTCTGATTTAGCATTCATCAACTATGACAAGGCGTTAAAGATCTATAAAAATATTACGAAGATGTGTTCTTCAACTGGTAATTACTTGTCAGCATTACAATATTCTCAAAAAGCGTTAAAAATATTTGAAAATTCTTTGCCATGTAATCCAAATGACATTCGTGCTATACACAATATACCTGGCTTAAGCTTCGAACAGTTAAAAGTATACGAGGATTTAAAAGAGATGTATGATATATGCAGTAAACAAGTGGGCCAAAAAATTTAAGATGATATTCAGCGTATTGAAATAATTTAAATAATAAACAAGGACGGTTAAATAAATCTTGATGGTATTTGGCTAATTATTGTGACACTAACGAATTTGTTTTCTTTTTTAATGATTCTTAAACATCAGTAAAGTAAAGATAGATCATATGATGTCTGTCGGTTCTTTTTAAAAACTATTTCAGTGCTTATTTCATCTGAATATTTTCACTGTAAATAAAATAAAAATATTTGTTTAACTAAACTTAGACAAATCGGCAAGACCAGGCTTCCCGATCAAGCAGGGGGAGCAGGGAACTGTCATTTCCTAAAAACATTTTTGGACTTTCCAGCAAAATCTTTGACATTTTTCTACAAGCAACTTTCTGCCAAAAATTTAGAAAACGTCTTTTGATCAACCACTTTTCGCAAAGAAAATTGTTTAGCCCCTTCCATCTCTGAGAACAATCGGAAACCCTGCGCAAGACTAAAAAGAATATAATGAGTTGTATAAATGTTAAAAAAATGAATAATCCTCATGGGAACAAATGAAATAAGAGAAGAAAGAACACAATGGGTACACACAAGAATAGACTGATGTACAGCTCACAATCTATAGATGACAAGTAGTTTAAAACAAAAACAAAAAAACGAAAGAAGAAAATCGAAAATAGTTATGATGGATTAGATACAGTGCATATAGTTTTGTTTATTTTATTCTAGCCAAGCAGATACACCAGTCTTTTATTAGGACTTCCTCTTGATAATCCTGAAATAGGATTTATTTTTATTACATAATGACTTGCAAGTAACATTGATGTATCTAGTTCACTCATTAATGATAAATTTTGAATTTCATTATTTCCAAATTTATTCCACCATTTTCTAGCTAAATCAACTACTCCTTATTCTAACGGTTTTACATTTGTTATATTTAAAAGTAGATGAGGTAGAAAACTATGAATATTGTAGACCATACTAACAATGTGTCGACGAAGACTGTTCAACCTGTTTTTTGCGTTGATGATAAGAACACGTAAAATGGTAAGAAATCGAATGCATACATCAACACTGTATCCGAATGTAATGAAACTAATTTTCTACTTCTTAACCATTTCATTTTGTTTAGACTTTGATTGATTTTCGTGATTATTTGTTTTAAGATAGGGATCAAATGATAACTTTGATGTGAACATGCAGTCAAGATATTTAAATTCAATAACTTGTTTCATGATGATGGTGTTCTGCTGATAAGGTTTGAGGAAGGTCATTGAACTTTAACTTTAAATTTTCTACTAAACAATACAAGTGAAAACATATATAATAAGAATTGGTGACTATATGTTTATAAATAATACGTAGCTGTACTTAAAAAGCCAATATCTATAGTAATAGACGAACCTCAGAATAAGAATCAACTCCCAGAGAAGAATGATTAGTTTTGATTAATAATCAGTAAAACATATCCTAAACATTATTTCTCGCAAAACAATATTTAATAACATGATTAATCGTTGCAAAATTTGATCATGAGTTCTGTATTATTGATAATATAAATTTGGAAGTATGGAGACAAAAGTCATACTTTATTTAAAACTATGGGTACAAACTTTACTTGGTCAAAAGCTCAAAAAGGTGAAGTAGGAATTTTATATTATTACTTATATCGGTTAAAACGTGAAAATCAGAATGCCTCGTCAGTATACGTCTGTACACTCAAATCTTGTTCTCGTGTTAATGAATTTTGAAAAATGATGCGATTACAAAACCCAGTGCCACAAATCATAATCATGATCCAAAATTACCCGATAAAGTTCAAACTGTACTAATTGGAGTGAAGTGGCGAGTATTAACTAATGCCGATAAACTCATATCCAAGTTTTACGACGAAGAAGTAAAGAGTTTCTGAGTATTTGTTCCTTTCTTTTGTACCATGGATCCTCTCCATTCTCGAACAGTCTCGGATGATACATAAACATATAGTCACCAATTCTTATTATATATGTTTCTACTTCTATTGTTTAATTATATATGCTTAGTATATATGTTTATAGTATATTGTTCTACCGTATTTTAAATTACGATTGTTGAATTTTTGAACTCTTTAATTAAAAAGTGATCGCTTTTTGGAAACGCAGAATAGTATAAATTAACTCGCTCCAAATTGCGACCACTTTTACAGTAATTGACTTAAATTTCGGTCGCATTTAGGAAGTAGCCAAATGTCCCTATGTTAAAAGTTTTTCTGTTCATTTGTATATGTATTTTAATTAATTTAATTAATGTTTGTATCCACTGAGGAAGATTGGACTAGTGAATCGAAACGTTTGGGAATAAATAAAGTTAGTACGAAGAAAAAGTATATTTATAATTATAAAAGACTGAATAATTATGCAATCATTAGTTAACGATTTGACGCTTTTAAAAATATTATTTTAAAACAAATCAATGAACGAACACATTCCCCAGGAGTTCGCGAATATAAATTGTAACCAGAAAGGAGTTATAAAATATATTTTAAAATCGTTTTTGAATTTGAAAACATTTGGAGTTTAATCAAGGAAAAAGTTTTATGAACATACTTTGATACTTTTTCCTTGCGATTCAAATGACTAGATTTTTGAAGTGTTTTATCTTTCTGCAGTTGACTTTGTTAACCTTCTTGTATATCTGAATGGCGAAAAGGCATTGCAATAGATTCTCTCTTTGTTCTTGATCCAATTTTAATAACCTCTCGAAAACGTGCATGATGAATAAGTAAATCACACCTTATTGCATAATTTTGTATCACGATCATAGCCGACATTTTTAATTCGAAATACACTACCTAGCATAAATAAGATCTCGTTTTCATTCGGAATCTTGCTTAAACATGATATATCAGAAATGGTTTTGTTGTCGCATTTTGATTGACTTTTATGTTGAATAATACTGGTTGAAAATTTCTTGATTAGTTCCATTTTGTGAAATTTTAACATTCAATCGTCAAATTAGAGCGATTTTTTTATGCTAAACCTTTTAAGCCGGATCTTACACGACAAAATATTCAAAAAAAATTCTTTCATCTTCCATCATTTTATAATAGATGATATCTAACACTTAAAAAAATGTTGAATTTCACTTGTTTGATTTTTCAACTCTGTTTTGAATCTAACATCAAATTAGTTGAAATTATCTATATGCTATTTTCAGCAAAATCCATAGGAATACAAACGAGAAAATATCGGAAAATTATTTTTATTTCAAAGTGTCATACATCAAGTAACATTTCTTTATTGGAATATGTTTTCTTCAAGATAAAATTTGAACCGTTAATTTCATAGTGAGAAAGCTAATCAAGAGGTGTGTTGAGAAGTCGTCAAAAATAGATGTTTTTTCTAATGAGAATGAGTAACATGTGATTATGTAATAATAATATACTCCAAGTGGATTTACGCTCAAGAAACATAAGTATTTGAGCAACAATAACTAGATATTATGGCAGAAAAAGTCATCTCGAACTAATGAACCGAGATTATAACTGTTGGACATGTTGTTGTTCGGTACTAATCTTCATGAGCTCTCCTATTTCACATGTATTTTATTAGCAATAAAATATTTTATACATTTCTCAAAAAAAAAAGAATTTAACGAAAAATAAAAACGCAACAATATACTATTTAACATTTGTTATTTTGATTCAAAAGCAAATATTCTTAAAATAGTTAACTAAAATAAAATGAAAATATTCAATTTTTCGACAAATCATAATAAAATCAGACCTCAGTTCAAATGAAAGAAATAAAAGTTAAAAATATAGTTATATAACAAGAACAGTATGTCTGAACAACATATTGTTAAACTTCAGAAAACATTGCACCTGATCAATAATAAAAAGGCGTATGAGAAGAGAAAAGAGAGATTCTTCGATAGTTATCTGTCATACAAAATGATAAATTAAATTAAATTAGTTTTCATGAGATGGAAGATCTCGCTGATAGAGCATTTCAACAAAAAATTAAATTCACTAACGATATATAACAGACAAAACAATTATTAAAGAGGTAGACCCTCTAATGATTATTTTCTAGAGAAATTTATTTTACAATCTATTGTTGTCTCAGTGAGAGCTTGTTTTTAAAGTTTTTGAGATTTTAATTATTATCAAATTGTTTTAAATACCTGCAAGATCACTTTTATATCCGAAATATCACTACAAGAAGACATGAACTTCACAGACCATCATATCTGGAAGCTCGTTCAGAATGTTTCGAAGTAGAGCAAAAGAATGTTAAAACATATGCTTTAATGTGTTGTCTTTTATACAACTGATCTAGTTTTTATCGTTGATTTCTTCTTGGTCCACTCACCGGTTTAACAAATAGCGTAACATCTGGTGCTTGTAATGGATTGTCGGGTAATAATAATGGTTTACGCTCTGTCACTTTATCATCTAATTCATCTGGTATATTTTTCGTTACAAAAAATAAACAAACATTTAATAGAAATGGAATAATTGCAACTATAGCTGCCACATACAACGTAAACACTCGAGAATAAGTCACTGTTATAGAATATAAATAATTGAAAAATGAATTTCCAAATGCATTCAAAATTGTACTGGTTTCTGTAATGAATGTATACGCGTCATTGATCTCGTTTGGTTCGAGAACTTTAGATATTAATGTGTAAATTATTGTACCTGAAATGAACAACAGAATGCTTTGGATATAAAAAACTACTAAAAACAATTTGACCAAAGTCACAAGGACAAACAGAAATGTGAGATAATTAATAGTAAATCAATGTATGAAGATAAGACTTTGTATGAAAATTTATCGACAAAGATGAATGAATTATTAAAAGTTAATAATCAACAGCTTTGATAGTATTGTGATTATATTTTACCTTGATATAATGTGAATGGACTAATAAACAATCCTATATACAGGTGCCAATCATATTTTGCATAGGATGTCCATAGAGCACTAATAATAAAACATAGATGACTAATACAACAGATTGAAGAATCGTGCCATTTTAACATGGTAAATAATTCGATTCCGACAACACTTAATACGGACCATATCACAGACTGAGTTGTATTATAGTAACCGATCTGTCTTGAAGACCAACAAAATGGATAATTCAATTGATACCACAAAAATGGTACACCTTAAGAAAAAGTTAAGAAATAGGTGGTGTACGAGACAGTACATTACTTTTAGGGACTCTTGAATAAGCGAAATATAAAAATATTTTCAATAAGTGCAACAAGTTTATTTGCGTATTAAAAGTATTAATCTGCTCTGTTCTTAACGAACTAGTAAAAAAACAAACTTTTTCTACAAAGCAAGTCAAAGTGGAACAAACTACGTATGTTCCAGAAATTAGTGCAAAAAGCATTTTATAGCGATAGATATTTGTTTTTATATTTTAATTTACACAATTTCATTTGTTCAACATATACCTGAGATAAGTTTTCAAACTTTATTTTTTCGATTATATTTAGAACTTCTTTGAGTTGCCACTTCGAAAGATTAGCAATTGATACAGTGGTCTGAACGATTTAAGATGGTAGTTATTCAAGAAACAGTAAAAAAGCTGTCTCACAAATGATAAAAATCAGTAAAAAGAAAAGGAAGTTGTCAATTTGATGGCTTATTCAGCGAAAATTTTTTTTAGCACATGAGATATTTGAGAAAAGTGAACAAGAGGGATGATCCGAAAAAGTGATCATTTATATACTATTTTAAAAATTTCATCAATGAAATTTTTTAGATACATTACATGTTGAAATTACACACATACACTTTCGATGGTATATACTTACCAAATGAAAGATTCGCAATAACATGAAATATGTATGCAAATAATGTTAATAATAAAATTAACGATTTCTTTCGTGTTCTTCTTTTTGGATAAAATACAGTGATAATATCTGACAGTTTTTGATGAGATGTTGATGTAGTGTGAGAAGTAACTGTTGATGATTTGGGTTTCATAAAGAGAATAATAATTCCAATACACAATAATTGTAAGAATAATGCTGTCCAATACATATCTGTATAACCTCTATATTCAATCCAATAGCCACTAGTAACACTCGCAATAGCTGAGGCAATTGTTGATAATGCTCCCAATTGAACAAATCGAGATGAACGTTTACTTTCGACAGTTGATTCAACTATCCATAAATTTAAAATAAATCCACTTACGTTACCGCCTCCAGTAAGACTTGCTAATACAGCTGCCACATGATAATAAGTGTCAGACAAATGAAAATAAATAATTAATAACCAAATGGAATATTGAATACAATTACCAACCATGGTCAATGTCAACACAAACTTTCTACCTGAAATATGTACATGAAAAAAAAACATTTCAAAACATAGAGTATATCATATTTTCTGTAAAGTAAATCATAGAAAACAGATCAATGTTCGACTATCTTCAATTTTAATTGTTATATCAAGTTTGCTATCGTATAATTACCTAATTGGTTTGTGTATAAACCAAGTAGATACGTCATTATAATAGTCACTGGACTACTGAGCAAATTTTGCCAGAAAAATAAATTTGACGATTTTTTCTGTGCAAATTCTTGTTGAATCGCCGAATATTCAGTTTGAGGACATTGTTTGTGTAATTGACTCGATGATAATGTAGTTATAAGTGTAAAATTAGTTGAAATATTATCGGACGATAGTGGAATATGAGAATGTAAATAATAATCATAGATATATTGTCCAATTGTGTAAGCTAAACAACCATAAAGAGTTTGTAAGGAATAAATAATTTCAATAAGATAGGTACTAAAAAAGGAGCGTAATCGTCGACGACACCATAAACAAGAAATGGATATTGTCATTGTGTATATCTAGATGAAAAATAACAGAAAAAATACATAGTTCAAATATACAATGATCATTTGCAGAAGTACTATTAATCTTGAAAGAAAAGTGCCATCAGTCTAAAAGTCGGTTTTTAGTTGTAAAAATGGACTATGGTTTATTGTTTTCTTTTAAATGAAACTAACAGTTCAACTGAAGTTTTCCTTTATTCAGTTTTTGAGCAAGACTATTTTTCTTCTTCTTGAAATTATTTGTCTGTAGTTAGTTTATAGGTCAAACAGAAACAATTCTCGCTAAACTAGTATTAATCATATTACATATGATCAATAAAAATATAATCATTCAATTTTTTGGAAATATAATAAAAAATATTTTTACATTTTGAAAGATTTTTAGAAACAAATTTGATTCTAAGATGTGAGAAACAATTGTTTTTTAGTAGTCACAAAACTTCAAAAGACTCCTGTACAAATGTTTTTATTTCAAAGTTTACTTTCGAAAAATTTGCCATGTTTAAATGAAACTTGGTTCGTCAATTGCAGTTGAAACAAACTGACAAACAACAAAAATAAACTCATTGTATTCGATTTGAATAAATTCTGTTAGATTCCGTATGCATGAGTAAGTTGCTATTTGTCTAGTTATTTTTTAAACATGTTTTAACTCTATCCTTGATGATAAAATTTTGTTTTTTAATCAATTTTCCCATTCCTTACATATATTTTGACTGTCTATTTTGATGATGGTGTAAACATTTTTATAATCAAGATCTAATTCACTAAAATTTAATGTTAGTATTAGTAAGTAATTTATTTTCAGACATTGTATACAACTTTTATCAGTACTTTTAAGATATTGATAACTGGATGTTTTTGAGAATCAACGCCATCAACATGATGAACTGAAAGACAGATTGCATAAGAAAATCATTTTTTTATATTTGGTAATAACGTATCAAATAATAATCTACTTTGTCAAAATGATAATGATAACGAATAGTTTTTTCTTGTATTGATGAAATATTAATAACACGGCTTAAATTAGATAGAACAAAGACATTAATTAGCTAGTAGAACTAAAATAGAAAACCTTTGGGAAACTCCCCAAAGTAGAATACTGACTTTTTATTCATGTTTACTTCTATTATCAAACATTTCTATATAAATATGTAAATAAAATAACGTTTAAATATTTAAAAAACGTCTGTTAAATTAATCGAATAAAAAGTTCGATAATAAAAAACAAACAAACAACATAAATATTTGCTATTAAAAAAAGTCGTTTACCAGACAGATCGTTGAATGCTGTTATTGTACAAAAAAACGAAATACTTAATTGGAAAATGTTATTAAAATAATATCGAAATTAAAATAGATTTGAATACAAGAGAATATAGAATAGACTGGTTATAATTCACACATCTAAAGATATACTTTGGATTTTTTCTTTGTTTTTTGTGCGAGATAAATAGATTAAACTATAATTCACATAGAAACTCTTACTATCGATACAAAAAAGCGTCCATTCCGCAAGACAACACGAGAGCTCAAACCCTATAGATAACATATGTAGAATGAGGGCGAGATAGCCAGTATCTTTTGCTTTTGACTCTTTTATGAGATAAGGGATCTACCGACGTACAATAGGCTATCATCGCTAATTACTAACAGGTTGGCCGTAAAGAACGGGTCAGAATCATTTCGAGCAATTTCTTATAATTTGGAGACTCCATTCTAAGTTTATTCAATAGAGACTTTTCCGCTCTACCAGGCTGTCAAATTGGATTGTTGAACAGAATTTTTTTTCCCGGAGTAATAATTAAAATATTAACATGTTCATACTGTGATACACCGAAAAGTAAAAAGCCCTGCGACATACAAACAAACGTCGCACTAAAATTTCAAATATATCATAAAATTCTGCTCTAAAGTCTTCTTTTTCTGGTGTATCCACCGTAGTTTTAGAGTAAAGTCTCGTGTAGGAATTCTTACGTAAAAAAGAGCCTAAGCGCGAACAAATTGAGTTATCTACTCTAGTCTCTGGTCTTCTGTATTTTCCATCGAAAGTCCTCTGAAAACTTTTCAACGTATATACTCACTAATCATAGATTTGTTCAGCGTTAAATTCTCTCGTTGCAAATGCCAAAATAAAAAGAACTGAAACAGTTTCTATTCAAAAGCTTGAGACGTCTTAACTACTCGAAAAAGCACCGCAATAAAATAATTTTAACCACCTGTTAAACTCGAATACGACTTCTGAAACTTCCGAGACCAATCAGGTCGGTAGAAGAAAAAATTCTTTATCGTTTGATCTAAAAGAATTTGGTTCTGAGATCAGTTTGATGAGCTGAAACATTTTTTAAAGACGGGGGAACAAGCCTATCGCAGTATGAACGCAGAGTATGTGTTGATGTTTACTCCGGGGTAAACTTTCTGTTCGACAATCCAACTTGACAGTCTTATAAAGCGAAAAATTCGCTATCGAATGAGCTTAGGATGGACTCTCCAAATTATAGGAAACTGCCCGAAAAAAAACAAAATGATTCTGACCCGATGTTGACGACCCACCCGTTCGTTATAGATATAATACACTATACAAAAAACAACTTTGTAATGATTGAGATTGGTGATAGAGATGTACAAGCCTTGAGACCTTGCATCAAAGATCATGTGTTTTCATTATTCAAAACCCCCAAGCACTCCTGAGCTTTTGTGTCAGACGTAACCAGTTCTCTCTGCTGTATCCGAAACTAGTGCTAGGACTGGTCAAAATCAATAAAAAAGTGCTGAGTTGGGTAAAGCTTGTTAAAAAATACAGATAAAGGTCAATTTCATCAAGCTTTATCAAGCCCGGTACTTTTTTTATTGATTTTGACCAGTCCTAGCACTAGTTTCGGATACAGCAGAGAGAACTGGTTACGTCTGACACAAAAGCTCAGGAGAGCTTGGGGATTTTGAATAATGAAGACACGTGATCTATGATGTAAGGTCTCACGGCTTGTAACATCCCTAGGTGATAGTAAAGCTTGATGCCTGAAAGTCATGTTTTCAGTCTGATTTATTAAAATGATACTAAATAAGATTAAAACTTGCTAAATAAGTTACAGATCTGGCACGTCGCTCTAAATTGTCGTTAAAAAGCATAGCTGCGTAATGACACCTTAGCTGCACGGGCAGGTATTCTAACGAGCAAATATTGAGCCGAAGGTCAAGGACAGTTTTTTCATGGCAATTTTAAGCAAAGTTACATTTCGATGCTTCATTACCACATTGTCCTTGTATTCCCTACTGAGCACGCATTGGGGATCGTATTTTTAAGATAGATTTTCATTTTTCTCCTACGCTGTCCTGTTAATCATTAAAAACGCTGGTTCAGGATAAAGTACAATCGAAACATCCTAAAATTAAAAAACCGCCATTATTTTATTCACAGCTTGATGAACTCTATTACGGGACGATCCTTGATTGGTTGCTGTGCTATTGCTATGACTTCAGTTTTTCTTCATAAACTTGAATAGACTAAAGAAAAGTCTTGACAAAAGAAGGTGAACTATCGAATCTTTTTTTGATCTAATAATTAAAAGAAGTTGAAAGAGTATAAAACCAGCAGAAGATGAATGATCCTCACTATATTGTTACTATGATTAGAGATCATTTTAAAAGAACGACTAGACATATCTATGACTACGGCACAGGGAGTCGTATCACGAAAAAACTTAAGTCTAAGTTTAAGACCGACTTAAGTCCGGGGGCTTAAATCGTATCACGAAGAGACTTAAGTTGGTGATTTGTTTACTTTTTAAAAGTTGTTAATAACAGTGACAAACTTGGGACAAAAACCCGTAAAGTAACGAAATATTTGTTATAATCCTTAGAATGTCGTTTTCGTCGGATTGTATCGTTAAATGGTTGAGCTATTCGAAAAATGCGTCAATGACTTAAGTCCGACTTAAGTTTTCGGTCTTAACTTTAAGACTACATTTTCCATGGCTTAAGCCATCCGGTGACTTAAGTTTTTTTGTAATACGGTAAAACTTAAGTCCAAAGACTTAAGTTAGTGACAGAGACTTAAGTCCAAATTTTGACTTAAGTCAGACTTAAGCTTTTTTGGGATACGGCCCCCAGGTTCTGTCTCTTACTCTCTAGTGTTTGTCGTATCTAAGCATATCTACATCATTCTGTTGTCAATATTTCTGTTTATTTTCATTACAAAAAGAACGTCACATCTTTATATCGTATCGTTTTAAAATAAAAAAAAAGTCTAAAGTCATAATTAGATGTTAAATAGGGTTGAGTGGTACAAATTTTGGCACTTTTCGCTATAAAGGACTTTTCTGATTGAAATTCAACTCAATTTTCTCAATGAAAAACTCAGATTGTGAAGAAATCCCTTGAGTGAGATCAATATTGCACAATTTTTTGATTGTTTATAGCGTGTACCGCCTTAACAAAACAAAACACAAAACTGTGCAGTATCGATCTCATTTTGAAAAGAAGGGATTTCTCTACAATCTGAGTTTTTGATTGAGAAAATTGAGTTCAAATTCAATCAGAAAAGTCCTTTATAATGAAAGGCGTCAACTTTTAGTTTTTTAGCATCTCGCAGTTTTTCAAAAATAACTGAGCTGTTAACAAAAAACAGCAATAATGAATACATATGTCCGAATAATAAATGCGGAAAATCGTTCAAACCGCAAGGAATCACAAACCATGTGAAGTCATGCGCAAAGAAATAGGGTACGGATTATGGTATAGGTTAGCCGGCGAGATAATTCATACAAGAAGAAGGAACAACAACTGATAAATAATAGGGATTAATTGAATTCCAACAACAACAAATCAAACTTCTACTCAATGAAAAAGCTGAATGGGACATGTGAATAATAAAATGATGCTTGCTTTCCAAATCAGATTTTGTGATCTGAAGGTGGCAAGTCGATATTACATTACTGCATCTTACATTCTACGACGATTCTAGATAAGTGGACCAGATTCAAACACTTTTTGCATTCTCCGAATGCACTCAAAAACTCTTCACTCTAAGAGTGATCGTAGACCTGGACTATACCCTCATTTTTTATTAGCTATGTTTCTTGTATCTTCACCTTACACCGATATTCGGTAAAGGGTATTCTATCTATCTATCTATCTATCAATATGGGCAAAATACCCTGTTCTAAGAAACGAACTATGGTACTCGTTAGACTATGCAGTGGCGGCGGAACGATTTCAGTCTAGGGGAGGCTCAAAATCTTTTTTGCTCACCATATGTAAACTAAAGATGAGATCTATGATATTTTCTAAAATATTTGAGCCTCCCCAAGCCTTCCTCTTCCTTTTCTAGGGGAGGCTTAGGCCTCCCCTAGCCTAATGGGTCCGCCGCCACTGAGACTATGAGAAATCATTTATCAGGATAGATATTAGCGTATGTCAGCATAGAGACAGAGCCGGGTCTTGAATGTTTGACCCAAACCGGACCGGTTTCGATAACGAATAGGTTTTATTTCTTAAGGACGTTGTAAAAATCGTTCAGTAAATATTTGTCAAATACCAAGAGCTCAGTTCAATGACAGATGCAGAATGAGCCGTCGAAAAGTATACTTTATACGTTTTGACGAGGATCAAAAATTAAAACATTTTTACGGCTTTCTGCGGTAGATAATAGGGATATCTCAATGAGTTTTACCATGTGGATATTTTATCATAGTTTTCGTTATGCTTCTTCATGCTTATACAACTAAACATAAATCGCATACTCTATCTTATACAATAAATGAAATAATTCCATTATATCCGTATATTCTGTGATTCTAACGTAAGAAGAGCCAATTTCCGCTAAATTACAACAGCATAGTAGTGATCCATTATAACGGCAGGACTACTTCAAACACAATCGTGCAATAATCTAACAGTTCGTAATAATCACTTTGTGAAAGATAAATACGACCACATATTTTCGACAAAACCGAGTAACCTAATGGACTTGACTGCCGCTGTTTTGCGTAATTATTTGCTCAGAAATGGAGCTTTACTTATTTATATCATTTATTTATGAAACACTATCAACAACAAGTAATAAGAATATGCATAAACATTATTTACAGTACATTTCATTCACAAAACAAGTATAATAATAAGAGAAAAAAAAATTCACACACACACACACACACAAAAGATAAGGTAATCTAACAAACTAAAACAAAGAATACAAGTGTTTAAACAAAGAAATAAAACAAAGAAACATTAAATTTTTATGTATCTATAATTCGTTGTTGATTATAACCCGATGAACGATATTTAATTATTTCATTATCATCATCTTCGACATTTGCCTCTTCATCTTGAATTAAATCAATTACTACCTGTTCAGCAACATCTGATTCTTCTTCTTTTGTTTCATAATGTTCATATTGATCATTTTTATAATAAGACGGATCATGATCAAACATTTCTGATTTAGCTTGAGTATTAACATATGAAGTGGATGCACCAGTGCCACTAGGCAGAGATAAATCGTTATCATAATAATCAGCTTGATCATGACGACGATGTGATGTTTGAATATGATCATCAGCTAATTCATAAGCATCACAATGATCTACACAAAACAATAATAATAATAGAACCGATTATATCTCAAGAAGAAACACAGTACCTCTTTCAAGTTTGACAATAACCGGTGGTTGTTTATAATCAGAATTTTGTCCATGCTGTTGTCCTCGAACTTGTATCATAGCTATTTGTTCATTATCTTGTAAATCATTATCATACGGATCAATATTATGTACATCATATGTATGATGTTCCAATGTACGTAACGTTGCAAATGTTTTTGAACACAAAGTACAACGATAAATTTGATGTTGTTGTTCTTTAATTGTATGATGTAAACGTGGTGTGGTTATTGGACGATGCTCAATTTTTGCTGGAATATAATTTGTGGGCGGACGAAGCGACAGACCAGCACCAGCAACATTGGCATACACACCACAACGCTAGATCAGATGAAAAAGATAAATTGTATTCTTCAGTCAAGGCAAGCCCTATTTTCAACATTCTTTTGCTAATATTTCAATCAAAAAATGTTTTCAATTCTTTCTCAATAACAGGACTACTGATTTGTACTACGGCTTTACTCACGTGTACTTTTGTTGTATGTTGACGTAAATCGCCACGTGTAGCATACATTAAACCACATTCATTGCATTGAAACGTACGTTCATCTAAATAAAAACAAATTAATATTCGTGATTTTTTTACAGAATAGACTTTAATCATAGTCTTTTGCCCTTTCCATTTTGTATTCATCAGTAGAGGACAAGACTAAATGACATCAATACAAGCTTTTCCTTTCAGAAATACGAAAAAGAGTTTTTTAACGAGAAAATTCACAACACAATCTTTATCAGTATTTCTAAATATCTCTTACCTCGATGCATATTATTCATATGTTCTTCTAATTCATCTGGCATATGGGTTGAAAATGCACACATTGAACATGCATATGTAGAAGCCGCAGACTGACCATGATGTTTAGTTTGTTCATGTTTATGTAACGAACGTCTAAAAGTAAAAAGTAAAATTATCCTGTCTTTTCCTGTCAACTACAGAACGTACTCATTTGGAAAATCAAGATCACATTCTTGACAATATAATAAATGTTCATTTTGATGTTTTTTAATAATATGATGTTTCAAATCTGATTTTCGTGTCAAAATAGTCGGGCAATATTGACACTGGAATTTTGGAGCATTTGTTTGATGAGTCAACATGTGTGCCTTCAAACTATGTAGAAAAGACAAGTAAATATTATTTATGTTTAATCTGTGACGATATGAGATGAGGAAAGAAGCGGTGCACACTTCTATTTTTGAATGCCATTCGTTCATCGATTCATATCTTTCTAACAAAGATTTTTTCTATACTTGCTAAATATTTGAGAAGAATTACCGGTATTAGAGAGAATGTTCTTCCGGTTAGCAGAGGGGCATACTTTTCAAATGAATAAACGACAGTCCGTTCTCTCTATAATTCTTCCTAATGTTTAAGAAAAATGATGTATATTCTAAAAATCGGGACGTGTTCATAGTAAAAACGAGTAGACTTTGCATCAATGATCGAATGGCGCGAATTGGATTTTCCTAGAACCTTTCTGATATAATATTGCGTAAAATAACATGTTGTTTTAATAACACATCGTTTTATATCTTTGTTATAAAAACATAAAACAAACATAAAACGATATGAACTTGCACTTCAGCTTCTTCATTATGATTATTTGCAAGAAAACATCTTAACATACCTATTACTTTGAGTAAAACGAAATTTACAAACTAAAACAAAAACATTTTAAGCAGTTAACACAACAAGAACAAACTGTTTTTCAGAAAATTATGGCATATGAGGTGTCTGAACATCATAAGTGATTTTGGAACCTAGTAAGTTTACCATTCAATTATCATTAGTAACGGAAATTATGACATCCTTACCATAAGTTTTAGAATTTGAAAATGAGCTATTATGTTTTTAAAAAAATGCGTTGAAAGTAAGTTGGGTTATTTTCTTTTATAAATATTTGAAGAATAAAATATTTCTGATATGCAAAAAGAGCAAATGTGGACTTACTTGTACATTCATATGGACGTTCACCTAGAATAGAAAAAACAGATAAGATAAAATTGTCCAGATTCAGATGCCCTTTAATAAATGATTGAAATGAATAGCTACGAAAATGAACATAAACAGAATCTGATTACAAAACGTGCATTTTTTTAATCGGTATTACATGAAATTTTAATTTAGTATGGAAATATGAAACGTGCGTTTATTTTAAACTGCGTACATTAGAATCAGAGGTGTAAAATCTAACGCTAAATTTGAAAATTTTCCACACGTTGAAATTGACAAAGTATTTATCAGTTTCTTTTCTTTCCTATAATCGTATTTTTTTCTAAAAACATTACTGTTATAAACGGAAATCTTTCTATATTGATTACTGATTCTATGAACACAAAAAGACATATGATCAAAAAAAAGTTGAAATTATAAATGCACTATTTATTGTTCACAAGACTTATGACTGATTTTGTTCAAGTATTCTTGCTAGTTTCTTGTGTCTTAAACGATTTAACACAACAGAATCAAGAGAGATCAGCGTCCGCAAATGATATTGTTGACTTATAAAATGACTTGGCATACAGTGAACCCTATATCATGGAACAATTTATTCTCGAAACTCGACGAGTTACTAAATTTGAGCTTATTATGCAAAAGAACAAAATACATAATCTGTTACTTAAAAAATGTAAAGTTGCTCGGAATTTGAATCTGAAATACAAGTTCCTACAGTAATATCGTAGCCTTATTTCTATAACTTGACTGGAAGTCCTAACTTTTATTTTTTGCTTCCGGTGCATATCGCTGATACTCACCTGTATGAACGCGTAGATGTCGTTTAAGTTTGAATGTATCTGGACTTGCATAAGAACTAAATTAAACATCAAAGACATAACAAATATACTAGCAGAAAAACTAAAATAGCTTACCAAAATTGACAGGTGTAAGGTTTTTCTCCAGTATGTGTCCGAATATGGCGACGCAATTTACTCAATTCAACTGTTGCATAACCACATTCAGTACCTAAGGAAGAGAAAAAACAAATAGTAAATGGAACACATAAACCTCTTAAATACATCAGCTCTTTAGTATGGGAAAAACTGGTGTAAATATTTATATTTCTAGAAAAACATAAACTAAACTGTCATTTTGAAACTTACATTTATGTGGCTTTTCCAGCGTATGTCTTAAATAGGAAAAAACATAATGTTATTGAAATACTGATTATACACTATAAAGTTTCACTTACTTGTAACGAACATGTCTAATTAACTCGCCTGATGTTGTAAACTTATAATCACAAAATTTGCATTGAAACGGTTTAATACCCAAATGTGTATTGACATGATTTTGTAGTTGAGATGTTGTTTTGAACGCATTTGAACAATATGTACCTGAAAAGATAAAAAAGAAAAAAAATTATAAAATTCATTTGTTCGAACAAAAAACTTTTCGCTTACATTTATGTGGGCGTTCAGTCGAATGTGATTTTAAATGTCTTTGTAGCAGATATTTTTTACCCGTACAATAATTACTAAAAGAAAAAAGTATATAATAGGTGTATGAGAGAATACTGAAGAGTAAAGCAAAAATACTTACCAATACGGACACATATGTTTTGTATCACGATTCGCTTTCAAGTTTTGAGGTTTAACATCTTTCCAATTAACATTAACACTGTTTTTTTTCTTTGCCGATACTTCACTAATAAAAAGATTAAATAAAACAAATCAGCACGAGAAAAGAGGAGCGACACTGGAATTCAATTTTTTTTCTCATACATACCTAAAATCATAAACTGAGGAATCAGCTAATTGATTCTGACTTGTTGTTGTATTATTAAACGGTGTTGATGATGAAGCTTCCGCATAACTGTTAATATCGTGAACATCATCTGTTTCACCTTCTTCCCTTTGAACTGGAGTCCATTCATCCTCCATATCTGAATCATTACGTCTACTTCCGCTTGCATCTGGTTTTTGTTGTTGACTAAAACGTTCTTCCTTAACGTTAAATGTATTTTCGTTTGACGGTATTTCTTCATCAAAATCCATCGCTCCATCATCTTCTTCATCGACTAATGGATCAATGAATTTTACAGCCTTTGAAGTTGATTGACGAGTAGAACGCCTTGTTGGAGAAGACATCTAAAAATAATTGATGACAGTGAGAAGAAAATAAATGGGCAGAGCTTTTCACGGTTCTATTCTACTTCCACATCGGCAGCGAAACTTATCAGGAAGATATCTGTCAATACTCGCATCGTGATTATTCGGTGAAGTGAAGATTATCCCACTATGGTCGACTTTGAATAATCGAAATTGAAACACCGTATAGAAAAATTCCATTGATGTTTTTTCCTCCTGACTGTGGATATAGGTCTAACAGTATATCATTCTCTCTCTCAAACTTTGGAATATCAGAAGAAGACCAGAGCAGCTTATCTAACTGGCTTTCATATTGTTTGCAACCATTTCCAAAAGATATTTCTGGAATTTAATGTGATCAGTCTGCTCAACGACTCATCATACTCGTTACTCTTTCCGCTGTCGTTGTTCTAAGTACGTTCACATTCCAACCGCTGTTCTTTTTTCTATTCAACTATAAACTGATTGGAATAAACTTCCTGAGCCAGTTATTTGTTTTTCTCCTTTAACCTCTTTCCAAAACGCACTAGACCGGTATCTCTTACAGTGAAATTCAGCCATGTGCCTAGTCATAATAAAGTCGTATTAGTCGTTCTCTCAACGTTATTTTATTTGTTTCATCGTTGCACACTCTAGTTTCTTTTTTTTCTTTTGTTTATTTCTTTTATTGTTCTTTCTTTTTCCCTGTTTCACTTTTGTAGTTTGGCTCGAGATATTGATATTACACGTCGAGCACCTTTGATTGATGACTCTCGCTTTTTCTGAATAGTCTTAGTCTGAGGAAGACCGATGGGAAACGAAGCTCAGTGAAGCAGAGTCCATTACCTGAAAAAAATACTAGCAAAGATACAAAAAAAAAGCAAACGTGGTGAACCTGTACTTGTCCAACTAGTTATCAAAGAAAACTTACGATCTATCACCAGAAACAAAGGGTATACCCAATGTTCAAGTGGGCTATGTCAACAGCAAATCAAAGTGGCAGAAAGAGGTCTCTAACTACAACTGCATTAGCGACGCAAGGGAAAGTAAGCGGCTTTTAGCACCTGCTATGAAGCTACTACATTTCGAACCATATGAACTGTCATTGTAAGCTCTGTGCAGTACCTGCACAAGATTCCAAGTTATAATGATACTCAGAGATGTCGGTAGCAGACGGATAGTCTGTCTAGTTAAATATCAGTATGATATTATTTTGTATTTTGTTATTCAGCTCTATAAGTTAATTTAACAAGTTCTTTTATTTATTCATTCTCAGTTAATGATAATCTTCAGATCTTCGGTATGTTCAACATTTCGGTAAAAAGAAATGGTTTTCATTCCTCTTGCATCAAAAGTTACTACCATTTTACTGAAAAAACTGGAACGGTTATATCTCACGAACCATCGAATCAGAAGAGCTAAAAGCTGCTAAGTGATCAGCAACATGTGATGATTGTAAGCACACAAAATTAGAAGTTCCTATCCCAGTCCACTTTTCCTGATGAAGTCCCCAGTGAATTCCTGGTGAGTTCTGAAAATAACGTGAAATCCCTACGGAGTAAAAATTGCAAGTATGCGCATCACGGTGCGACTTGGATACGAACCCTATTTACCGTTTTGTTTTCCTTAGACACATAGTATATAACTTACACTGATTTTCGAAAAATGTTTCAAAATCTTTTCAAATTTTAGTAATTAATCACCGTCAGAAATGGATAAGGGTGGAAGTCCAAAACAAAGGGATCGCGCCGTAACTAATATAAGCCTCGCGATTCATCCACGTTCTCGGTTAGAGCTGCGTAACTCATTTATTGTTAGTGGACGAAAAACACGAATAAATAGTGTAGTGAGCGCGGTAAAACATTCGAGAATTAAAATTGATTTTTGTCTGACGTCGTGAGCGCGAGAAAGTCGCAATCGCTAAAAACCTCTTATTTCACAAGTCTTACAGCGAACGCGTTACGTTATGTCGCCGGGAATTTATCGGTATGTGTAAGACGTATCTTAACCTCATATTGACTTAGTAGAATAGATGAAACGTTATCTGCTAATAGTAACGACACCTATCGTTAGTACTTGTACTTTTAATTGTAACGTGATTGAAGAGTGTGCTTTCAAAGTCAAAGAAAGAAACGTTGAATCGAAATATTACGAATTCCAAAGTTAGAGATATATACAGAGTCAAAGTTCGTGAGTAATGACTGACAAAAGTGAAATTAAAATTAAAATTAAAATAATCAAAAAAATTTATCGAAACCAATTAATTAATTGTATTGGTTTAGAAAACTTGGCATTGAGCTAGCAGGATTTAATCTGACTTTTAATTTTTTTGCTGCTCTTCTAGCGTTATGCAAATATTATCTCATTGAGCAACAGAAAGAAAACGATGAACAACCAATTTTACAGCGGAATTGCCTCCTAATATTCAGTGGTGTAGTTAAATGAAGATTAAGGATCCAACCCTATCCTTGGTTACTTTAGAGCACAACTATTCTTCTAACCTTCAGTGGCATAGTCAAGTGAGGACTGAGGGTCGAACCCTATTCTTGGCTCTCAAAAGACTTGGAGTCTCCTCGGCGAAACTAATGACCTTTTAGTTGCCTGCACTGTTTTTAATGATAGTTTTTGTACAGTACTAATTCACAGTTATCTGCGTATTTGAATGAATTATGCGACTATAATGTCTGGCCATTCCTGAGATATAAGCGCTTTACTAAGTGGAAGGGATTTTGACTACATCTAGCGACAATAAAAACGCTTTTTTAATTGAAAGAAAGCTCTTCTAAAGTTGGTTCTTTGGAGAAAATTGTAACAGACAGTTTACTGTTTCAGTGTATAACTATGAATTACTTATGCATTTGCAGTTAGTTACTAGGCAATTGTACGACAATAATGGCTTTACTTATAGAATGGCGTTTTTTCGTAACTCAAGAATGAATGAGCCATAAGTTAGACAGTTCGTGACCATAACTTGGTTCAAAAAGAGCAAGAGATAGTACTACATTTCTATAGAAAAAGATTTATTTACTTTTATGCTCACCGATAAAAAGAGTAAAGCGCTCTTGCTAACTGCTGTTTTTCTGCTAAAAGCAAGGCCAGAGTTTGAATTTTGTTTTTGTTATATCTCGGAAACTGCCTAAGCTTTAGCCTTGATTTTTTATCCTTTTTCTATCCTGAGATGCTGGATATGTGAGAATAATTTGCTATCAATTAGTATATGACTTACGTTCTTTTCTCTTCGTTCACTCCACTTACTTTCTTATTAGGCTGGAGGATTTCGTATTTCGAAAAATTTTAATATCTAGAGAAAAAAATATCGACCTTTGAGTAAGGTCGAAATCGGTCATGGTATCTTCTTTTGATTCTTCCAGAAATGAGTTCTGTTTGAGTCTCGAGTAAGTGATAATCGGTTGTAAAACTGAAACTAAATTAAAATTATACCAAGTCGAGTTTCACATTACGTACATAAAACTTCTTATGCCATCGTATAACTGATTTTTGACTGTCTATGAATGACTAAACGCTGTTTAAAAATAATTAGTAAGAATAATATGGCACTAATTAAAAAGGGTAAAATCGATGATGAAAATCTTATGAAGAATGACCAATATTCTTCAAATTAATAGAACACTGTCATTTTACCATATGTTATATAGGAGAGTATATCGAAAATCTTTTTCCAAAGTGTACTATCCTCTGAAGTTTCTGAGAGATGCTAAAGATTTCTGAGATACTAAAGAGCGTATTTATGTGTTGTTAAATGATTGGAATACCCACATATGACTTTTTTAAAAAGAAAAAAGTCTGACTGAATCCAATAAATCCAGTGGATCTCCGGATGGGCCAATCCTGTTGACATGCCGTTTAGCAGGGCTTATACTCGAGGAGACCGAGAGCTATACACCGATATAATTTTTAATTAATTCTGATCATTAGTTAATGAGTACACAGTTTGAAAAGTTCATTCCTATGTATATCGGCTGAAATGATCAGAATAACTCCCATTGACATGTTGAAGTGTTTGGAATAGCCCCAGTTGGCACTATTTCGATAAGTAATCGTTTCATTTTAATCGAAACTCGTTATCCTTAGTGAATTTCAAGAAGGTTTTTACATCAGCAAGATAATAACTTGAATATACCTGTCCATTTTCATGCTTATCCCATGAAAAATGACTGAGAAATAATTAAAAGAATACGATTTTTTAGTGGTAGTGGTCGGAATAACCCCACGCCACTCTACAATGGCAGCGCAATTTACTCATTTACATTTACGCAGCTAAAAACAGACGTTTAATAAACTTTTCGGAGTGTCATGGCACGTTGCATGGACTAATGTCAATTATTATGAAAACACAGTAGATAGGGTCTTCTCCTTGAAAAATTGCTGGTTATTCCACTACTAACATTCGATCCAACTATGGAATTTTTTTTTTTGAACAAGGCAAAACTAAAGTATAAATATTTGATGGATTGTTACGAAAACCACAAACGTACAAGTTGAATCTTCGCTTAGATGTCTATTTTACGAAAACTCCTAAAAGCAACAAACTGGAAAATAGATAAAAACGGTCAACTTAGACTAACATTTTACCATAGGCATTCCATTTTTTACATGATCTAAAACGGCTCTGAAATATTAAGTGTAGTACAGAATTGAGTTATGCATTTAGAAATAAACTGCTGAAAGCATCGTTCGTTTGACTTCTACGTTTCAAACTGACACAGTATTTTTTTTATTCTGATGTAAAAATGTTTTTTAGACAGATATGAACGCAAATTCAGATATGGCAACTTCAGGAAGCTCAGCTCGTTCTAAAGTAGTTAAACTTCTTGAAGCTGAACCCCTTGATGACGAAGATGAAGCCGATGCAGACGAAACAGATGAACCAATTAATACAGAAACTTCACCGTTGGATATAAAAGGAGAACATTATGTAAATGGAAATTCTAATGACACAATTGTATATGAGCCTTCAGCAGCAACTACCATCTCGAATGAGACGCTTAATAATCGACAAGATGATAATGAAGATTGGATACTTCCTCCGGAAACAATTTCTGCAAAACAGGAAGCAATGATGGACGATGATCAGGATGAAATGGAAGATGAAGCCGTTGCATCGACATCAGCATCGTTCCCTCAAACGTCAAAAAAAAACAGAGGACAATTGAACTTTTCTATTTACGATTTCAGGTATTATATTGAAATTGGAAGGAATATTTTTGAGTAGTTAAAGTACTTTCATTTTTCTTTTTATAGTGAGTTCACACCAAAAAAGAAACGTAGTATAAAAGCCCAAGCAGCGATAAAAGCCAAAGCGAAAAGTCTTGGTTTAACTCCGAAACAAGAAATCAGACATATGTGTTCGTATTGTAATTATTGTTCGAATAAAAAATATCTGCTACACCGACATTTAAGATCACATTCGAATGAACGTCCACATAAATGTAACTGAAGAGATTTTAGTTTGAATAAACAAATCTATGATTTCTTTTGATTTTTCTTGTAGGTTCATATTGTGAACGATCATTTAAAACAACTCTACAGCTACAAAATCATACCAATACACATTTGGGAATTAAACCGTTCAAGGTACATTTTTAATCCAAGAAATTTTTTTCTCTATCTTTAGTTACACTGTTATTTGTTTTATTTGATAGTGTAAATTTTGCACGTATGCATTCACAACATCGGGGGAATTGATTCGACATGTTCGTTATAAGTATGAATTATTATCGTTTATGTATAAAACGGCAGTATTGTCGAGTTTTTAGTTCGACTATGAATTAAAGCTACTTTTCTTATATACGAAAATGCAGATGCACAGATACTCTATTACATAAAAGGGCTTTTTATTTTATAAAATAGTCATTATCTACATGTTATATTTTTTCCTTGTCTAGGCACACGCTCGAAAAACCTCATAAATGTAAGCTTTTGTGTAAAATTTGTGTTATTTGAAATTTTACTTTGTTGTATTTCTCAGGTAATCTTTGTAGTTATGCAACTGTTGAATTGAGCAAATTACGTCGCCATAATAGAACGCATACTGGAGTAGGTTACGTAATAAGCGAGAATCAAACTCGTTTTTTTATAGCATAAAACTGTTCGTTTTGTAGGAAAAACCGTTTTCTTGTGAACATTGCGATTACAGAAGTCCAGATACATTCAAACTCAAACGGCATTTAAGAATTCATACGGGTAAGAAAAAGCGGTTGTTCAAATATGATAATTTTCTTGCCAAGAAAAAGAATTTAGACAACTTCGACTACATATTCTGAGTATATATCAATTGAGAACGACTTACATAGTGCTTTTCAAAGTAAAGAATATAGCAGACGTTTTCACGCCAGTACGAAAGGACAAACTTTAAATTACATATGTTGACTTCTTCTGCTTAGTTTAGGAGAGCGTCCTTATCCATGTACACTATGTAGCTTACGTTTTACTCAAAGTAATTCATTAAAAGCACATATGCTAACTCATGAAGAGAACAAACCAACATTGCCGGTTACGCCGGTTGTGCCGTGTCCATCTGTCATGGCTAGAAAATCTGATTTAAGATATCATATTGGAAAACAGCATATCTCAACGGAACCATTAGCTTGCAATATATGCGAACAAGATTTTCCAGACAAGTGAGTAGTGAGAAAGTGTAAGTAGCTAATAGAATTTATTGTTTCTAATTCACTAGATATTCGTTACGCATGCACGCCAAAACTCATTGTAAAATTGAAGGAAACGATTCATTTTTAATAAAATGTACAATGTGCGATTACACAACACAGACACAGTCTGATTTGGAAGAACATATGAATAAACATAGAGGTAAAAAACTCAGTCATACAGCTGGATGTAGAATTTTATTCATCTATATTACCAATGACGAATTTTATCTAGCAAAATTCTTATTTTTGTTATTTTGTAGGTAGTCGACCATTCCAGTGTTCTGAATGTGGTCTAACATATTCAACTCAAGGTGATTTACGGCAACATACAACAAAAGTTCATCATTGTGGTGATTCTTCAGATGTAGCTGGAGCTGGTCTCTCAACTCATCAATCTTTTCATTGTGTTGTATGTTCAAAAACATTCACTAATTTGCATACATTAGAACAACATATGATCAGTATACATCAGATAGAAAATGGAGATAATGGAACGGTAGAGACGATGGAAATAAGTAATAATGATCAGGATATTAAACCATCACTTACTGTCAAAATTGAAAATGGTAAGACGTTATTGTTACGTAATTCTATAATTACGGTTTATAGCTGGTTGGTTTTTTTAGAAGATAATCATTTCTATGATGATCAATCAAACTTGTATGACGAGTATGACGATGATCTAGTTGGAGACAGAGACAACGATATCGCGAACGAAGTTCAAACTGCCGATGAAGAGCACGAAGATATAAATCAAGAAATGATTAAAGGACAACAAAATATTGATAATAATGAACCTATCGTTGAATATCGATCATCTCAAATTTGCTTGGGTATCCGAAAAATACCTTCATCAATACCAACAACAATCAAAAAATTTGAAGATTTTAATACAATGAATGAATTCGATATCTCAGGGGAGCAACCTTTAACAACAACTGAAACAGATATAGGGACAACAATAGAAACACCATTACCGAAAAAACGAACACTAGCCATTAATAGAAGTATGTGGTAACGATTTTTTAAGTATGAAACAGTTAGAAATATAAGTGATATAGGACACTCTCATGAACCGTGTAAATACCTGTATCACATACCGAACGTTGATTTCATTTTCATTTAGATTTATCAAACAATATAGCGACTGGTTTAGGAAAAATGGATGTATTTGGTTTTAACGAATAAATGTTATACCCTATTAAAATTATTCATTTTCTTTTTTACGTCTTAGCGATAAATTTTGTTTTTTTTTTTGTTTTTTTTTTTGCATAATTTAGTGTTTAACCTACGTATAACGATTAGCAAATATCTTTGTTAGTATTTTTCACTTTCTTTTTATTCTAATGTATTTCTTGCTACTTTAAAGTGAGACATCAACTTTAGTGTTAATGTTTGTTTCCTTTCTTAATTCTACTTTTGTGTACATACAGAAACAAGGTTCTTCTCTTTCTCACATTTATGTCTTGTTTCTTCTAGTTTAACAAATGTGTTTTTTTCTTTCGTAGACTTAAATAACAATTTCTTTTCGATTGTATTTATTTATACACCCGAGCAACTCGTAGATTACAATTTTTTTTTTTTGTGTGAATTGTTTTTTTACAGATACGTTTTCTCGTGATCTCTTTAATACTAAAATCTTATTTCTTCCGTTGTTTGACAAAAAAAAAATACATATCTTAATAAAAAGATAATCATAGTTTAAATATCAACGAATTTTAGAAATATTTGACAAAATAATATTTAAAGAAAAATATTTAAACATATGTCCGATTTCTCTCATCCAGTACTTTTAAATAATTCAGGGTACGATTGATTCTTCCTAAGATTTTTCTTGAAAACTTTTTTGAATAAAATTTCTAGAAATTTTTAGAAAGTTAAGTTGAAGAGGTTTTTATTTCAATTTATTTTTTATTTCATATCATATTAAAATTTTCACATTGTTAATGTTTTACAATGTAGAAAAATAAGTAAATGATTTGAAAGTGCATGATATTTATTATTGTCTAAATATAAATCAAATTCACATTCCATAATTGTCTATGTTTGTAATCACAATTTATGTTAAACTTCATTTTCAAGTATACGAGTATGTGTTAAATAGTGTCGAATTGTGTGATTCAAAATTCGATAATAATCTGATCATTTTCATTTTTGTTAAACTATTCTTTTTCTTTTCTTTATTTTGTTTTGGTTTTTTAGTAGTAGTATCCATGCGTTCGATTGCAGGTTTTTAGTCTTTTGTATGCTGAGAAAAGAGTAGTACAGAAAATAAAAAGAGAACAAAAACATTTTCTTTTAAGAATGACGCTCGATTTGATAATAATATCATTTTTTGTGTGTCATTTATTCGTTTATTTTTAATAGCAGACCAACAATAGCAGAAGAATTTTGTCAGACAAAAACTGTTCACTATAACCAGTGATCGTAGGAAGAATATGAGTTTCATTATCTGTTAACACTATGAATCATCATGTTCATATTTTCATTTCAGAATGGATTGTTTAATACATGAGATTTTTTCTTAAAATTTTTTAAATATCTTTTATCTTGTCACGTCTAAATTCATTTTTTCGATTCAGTATTCGTTTTTATTAGTTATCAATTTGAATAATGGGTACATATCATATCGAAATTTAATATATCATTCGACAAAATTGAATAAAATTATTTCCAGTTTGTTTAGTTGCTAACACTGATTGAAGTTCAAGTTGTCGATTAATATGGAGTCGTAGTTTTTTGATAAATTCATAATAAATGATTCAACTATTGGCAAATATTAATTATAATTCTGGTAAATTTATTTATTGCAATCTATTTAATATATGACAATCTCGAATACAAATATATTATGTATTTTCGAAGATTTAAAGATACCAAAAGATCTCGATGTATACTCTCATTTATGTTGCTTATTCTTGATAGTATCGTGTGAAAAAGATTTATGTCATACAAAGATCTAAACCAATATATTATGAGTGTGTCTACAGAACGTAAGCACATATAATCAAAAAGAACAAATAAATTTATTATATAATTTGTTATATATATAAGTTTTGATAAACTAATATTGTTAGATGAGTTGACTGAACAACGATGATAACTTGTTTTATAACGCTTCTCATCGCACAATTATATGCTAGATCGATTGTTTTTTTTATCTCTCATGTTTGCCTGAACGTGCTTTATCTGCATGTCAGTATCGATGACCATTGAAAAATTTTTTTGTTGAAATTTTGAAACATGTGGAAGAGAAGGAGTTTTTGGTTACTCCACTTAACCGTTATCTTTTCTCTTTTCATCAGTTTAATCTACTCAGCTCTGCTTATAACATAATAATCTCACTCTGCTATTGAAAAATAAGTATCTAAGTAAAGAAAATGTTTTATCCAATTGAGAAGATAAAACTCAAGTTCATCATCAAACACATCACATCAAGGACCTGTGTCCAGTGAAAAATCACTGAATATAAAAGATTTTTTATTAATTGCTCGTCAGAATGCTTGAAAAGATAAAAATATTTGTGAAGAAACCGACGACGATAAACTTAACGACAAATTAAGTGGATGAGAATGAACTACAGGGAAAAAGAAGAGAAATGAAGAAAATCTGTTTTGAACAATATCATGACTAGTTAACAAATTTTCTATTTAGATAACGTCTAGTAATAAGATAATTATTATCTCGATGATCCAACACAACGTATGAAAATAAACACTATCATTAATCATTACATCACTAGTTGAAACTATATTAAAATATGATTTAAAAATACACTGTTTTTTGTCGAAACAAATGAACAATTGTACATATCCTAAACATTTATGTTGTCAAAGAAAAACAATAGAACAATAATTGATTTTCCAACATGAAACCATTAAGTTAGTCGACTTATAGTAATATGTGCATCAAACAAGGCCTGATTGGAATTTTTATGATAGTCTAGTATATTATTAGAGAATACATTATTCGAATACGTATCGGCTTATTTTATCTGATGAATACTGGATAAAGTTAATTTTGAGATCATTATCAAAATGAAGAGGATATCATTATAATATATTCGATTTAAATTTGATTATACAGCATTTACCGAAACGTTTTAAAACAAAGTTTATTTAGATAATCTCTAATGTGTTGTGTCATTTTACTTTACATTTTGACTGTACATCTAAGAAAAGATGATTTTATAAATTAAAACAGAATTATCACAATTTTTGACGTAAAAAATATATTCATTTTTCTCGTGGCCTACTAAGAGCACAGTGTAACATTACTTTTTTGATCATATTATTTTTGTGTTGATAAATTCGAACGAATATAACTCGTAAAGCCTATAAGATTTAATTGTAAAAAAAAAAAGTATATGTTCACTTTTCTAATCTATTTTGTAGAATTTTGGACATCTTTGTCTGTATTTTTTTAGATGTTAAGGTGAAATATAATGGCTTCATAGAGCAAATGATTAATATTAGATTTGCTTTTCTAAATAAATATAATTTATTATTTCTTTTGGGTTTAAATATTCAACAGCAAATGTCAGCATTTAACTCAATGGGTGGAACGTTTAATAAAAATCAAGAAAATGATCAGACGTGTCATACTCATCATCTCTTAGAGCGTGTAAATGGGTACGAAAATAAACACAATAATTTAGTATTTTTTCCAAGTTTAAATAAAAATGATTTCATTAAACATAGTGTTATCTATTTTGGAGGTGATATACAGGTATCAACTTAGATGTTGAACAAATAATGTCTAGCAAAATAAATATTATTATTCAATATTATGATCATTTTTTAGGATTTTCCTGAAAATATGAATTCAAATAGTGAAAGTCGTAAATATAAACAATGGAATCTCGTATCAACAGGCGAATTATTACAAAAACGATATCCGAATAGTTCTATTATTCTTATACGTCCAAATGAAATGAAAGATGAAATATTTTCTAGGTGATATTATAATAAATCGATGTATATATCATTAGTAATACTATGGCCCATTGTATTCTAGATTTTCTAATTTTGTTCCGTATACAAATGAACGTGGTGATCCTGAGAAATATGATCCAACAAATTTTCCAGCATTTTATCATTTACAACAATTATTGATAGAAATTTCAAACAAACTAATAAATGAACAGGAGTATAATAGTCATTTGATAAATATGTTATGCGCTTTTTTTTTTTGTCATTATAATTTTTCATTCTAGATCATCTTGTATTTCAATTCATGATAATTCTATAAAATTAACAATAATTGGTTTTAGTAAAGGTTGTGTTGTTCTCAATCAATTATTTCATGAATTAAATCATCTATCATCTCAAAAAGAAGATACTAATAAATTGAATGAGTTTATTTTAAAAATACGTGAATTTGTATGGCTTGATAGTGGTCATAATGCACCAAATACTATGATATGGCCAGTTGATGAACATTTAATTCAAACAGTTCAAAAATATAATTTTGAAATAACTGTTGCTGTAACACCATTTCAAGTTCGAAATCCAAATAAGAAAAAACATCAAATAGAATATACAAAATTCATTCAGTTATTATCCAAATATGGAATTCAGTTTACAAATACAATTTATTTTGATAAACAACCACCATCATTAGATAGACATTTCGAACTATTAAAAAAATTTTGAATACTTGTAAATTATTACCTGTTTTTCGTTTAATACTATTTTTTTAATGATTAAAAATTGTTTGAAAAACGATATACTACCTATGTGTGCTGTACTATACATATTTAAAATAAGAAGAAGAAAATGACTACAAACAAAATAGAATTGATCAATAAAGTTATACTAGTATAATGTTATTTTGCCAAAAAGCTCATTAGAGACACATAAAACACTAACTGAAATGATGTGCCGTTTTTTGTATTGATTATTTTGTTAAATCTACACTGTCCATTGATATTTTAAATTATGTGATTTATAGTAAACACTGAATAATTCTATCAACATCATTTCCGTTTCTATTCGCCAACAAATTCTATTAGAAAACAATAGTGACGATGACAAATATCGCTTTGATATTTCAAAAGGAAAGTCGATGTCAGTGAAATATAAATATGAATCTATTTGTATATATGAAACAAAAATCTTGATAATGATCTTGAAGTGCAACAACGAATGAATCTAATAATCAATCATATTGAATACGTTGTCAATTATCATCACTACTTTTATTTGCTCGAAGGCAAATACTTTTCTTTAGAATATGAAAAGTGCACATTATTATCGATGCTTTGTATTCTTCAACTTTATTCATATGAGAGAAAAATAATATAGCCCATAGCATCGATGAAAGTTAATTTTAATGGACATGACCTACTTTTTTTTTTCTTGGAATTTGTCTTTTTATACACGTATTAAAAATAAGTCTTGATATGGATACTACAAAAAAATTTATAAATGTACTCAAAGTTTTGTCATTTTTGTCCATGTTTTCACAGTTGAATGAGCATCATTTAAAAATGCTGGATTAAGATAAACTTGTGTCTGATGTTCTCTACTAGCTGATTGTACAGCAAGAGATCCCGGTAATGATAGTTGACTCAATTTGTGATGTCGAGGTACTGTTTTATAAAGAAATAAATTTGGTTTCTCCTAAAATTGAGTAGAACAATTTATTCAAGTGTACATGCTCTTTTAAGTATTAAGAGAGTCTATTAAATGACCTTAGTTAGTGATTCGTGTTTATTTTTTTGTCTGATTCAACAGCGCGGTTAAAATAAAAAAAGTATCACAATTATTTGTTCTGATTTGTTCAGTGAAGTGAATAGATCCTATTTTACTTTTAGTTCTACTGATTCTTGATGAGAAAACCCTAAGCTTTTAAGTAACTCTCTCTATTTTATGAGTTTTTCAAGAATCGTTGGACAAACTTTTTCTATTCGATGACTGTTTTAATCAGAACAGGCAGAGCAACATTTCCATGTATTCGAAATATTTGAGTCTGTCACTGCTTTTTGTCATCAAATATATGATCACTTTTTTTTAAGTATTTTGCCCATTTGACTACTCTTGACACCTAATTCATCATCATTTTGCATATTAAACAATAGTGCATCGATAAATGATTGAAACTGTTTCACTGATTCTCACGAAATTTATAAAATACAGAGCACTACTTGAAAACCGACGTTTTTTCGAAATAATTAGAAGAACTAAAATTAAAATAGGACCTATTGAATAAACTGTTACCTATGATAGAAATATCTATAATACTTTTTCATTTTAACTAAACTTTGAATCCTAATTGGAGAACTGTGGAGTGAGAGAAACGCTCGATTTTCTGATGAAGTATCTGTTAAATCAAACCACATACACTTTCTAGTTGACTTTCTCTATATTTCACATGACATCGCAACTTTGCGAGAAGTCTTTCTGGTATGAACGGACATAGTATATCAAATACAGGTAACATTAAATTTGCATCAATTGTTTCTGGTCTTCTGAAACCTAAAATACAGACGGATTGATTATTATGACACTAAAAGATAAAAATTAACTTACCAGTCAATAAACTAACGATAATACTCACAATTGTGACAGTAATCACAGAAAACAATGTATACCATAAATAACTCATAGAATAAAATGGAACTAAGGGACTTTTTCTAAAAGGATAAATGATATGAAAGAGATCTCGGATGAGAAACAAAAAGAAAACTGACAATCAACTTTATATCTTCAAAATTAGAGACTTTTACCTAATAAATGATAAAATGATACTTGTAGAATTATTGTTGTTATTATTGTCAATGTTAGTAGAATTAAATAATGTTGAATTTAAAAAAGATGTTGTCATATTTGACGAAATACATCCATCAATTCTTGTTGGTAAACGGAAACTTTTCATATTTTTTTGCATTACTTGCGATCCCATGAATACCCAAATTTGTAATATTAAACTAGTAACTAAACCACACATTGCACCCTGTGTAATTGAAAATAGTCCGTCCACATGTACTTCACTACATCTTCGTTTTTATCAAAATTCTACTAACCGTTGAGTTGACATATGGAACAATGAAACCGACAATGAATAAACCTGATATAGGACCAGAGAATACGCCAAACAAAGATAGAGCAGACTAAAGAAGACTATCATTATTAATTATTAATCACGATTCAAGTCAATCTAAACTAAATTACTTGAAGAAGATTTCCAAGTAAAGAGACAAGATATGTCAGTGCAATACATATCACACCAAATACAAGTGCTAAAAAAAAGAGAATGTCTAAAAATCAATCAGAATATCAAGAAAACAAGAAAATATGTAATTTTTTCTGAATATATTAATTTAAACTTACATAAAATTTGAGATATCCATAATTCTTTTTTATCACCTATATCTTTATGATAAAAAAATTTGACAATATCAGATAGAACAACAGCGGCAAGACTATTGAGTCCGGATGATAATGTACTTAAAAGCGTCAAAATATTTATTTTTTCATATTTTATTAAATATAGATATCGTACCTGAGTGCACCACTGAAAACACATGCAAGAAATATTCCGGGTAGACCTGTATCGAATCGATCAATATAAAATACAATAAATTACACCATATTTATTAGATCTTAATTACCTTTAAGACGTTTCAATGTTTCCATGACAAATAATGGATATAACTTAAAAATCAAAACTGTTTTCAGATACAATAGAAATTATGTGTTTAAAACGTGATAACTTACTTGATCACTTTGTTTTATTAAACCAAGTTTTAATGGATCGCATATGGAATATTTTGCGAACATAACAAGACCAACACCACAACATAGAGACAAAATACATAGTAAACCCACCAAATTCAATGTTAATGCACTAAAAATAGGTTTTAATTAATAAAACTTTATAAGTTGTTAACTTGGATAGTAAACCATATGGAATTTAGACTGAAAATTTTTGAGATAACATTTTAGAATGCCTACATTTGTGCTGCACGAACTGTTGGTACACAAAGGTACCTTTGTACCTGTGCTTGATTGAAACCTAAAGTAAAATTGCTAACTATGACTGCTCATAAATGTTTTGTCTAGTCATACCATAAATAGCTACCCACATAAACGTTCCTCCAATAACCAAACCCCAAACAGTATGTCGATCGGTAGGATCTGGATTAAAACTATAATATATCCGGTTAAGATACTACTATTAACAATGTACAAGGTGGTAAACATGTTTTTCCAGGGTAGTAGAGCTCAAACTACAAATGATGTAAATATGAATTATATACCAAATTGATACTCATCTAAAATGGGATTAATGAGTATACACTCAAAAAAGAGGGCTTCTACAGAAAACTGAAACTATGTTTTTCATTTGTCCCAAATAGGGATCTGATGTAAGTTTTCTGAAAATTTGTAAAACTGAGTTTTTCATCTTCCGGAGGAACAGAAATAAGTTTTCATTTTTTTAGATCCTATTTGGGATATTTGTTTTCGAGAAAACATCAGATCGAAAAACACATTTCTGTTCTTCGACTTTTTCAAAAATCTGGATCTTAATTCCTCTTTTCACCAGCCAACTATTTTTTAATCAATACGATAGCTGTGATCATATATAGAATTGTTCTTTTATTCAGTATAAATATTGCCAACTGGAAACCTGCACAAGTAGAGAAAACTATGTAAACCACATCCTAACTCGATCGTCATTTGGAACCTCATTCGACCCCGATCGAATCAGGTTCCAAACATCGTAGGTACTCGACTTGTTGGGTTCGAGTCGAATTTTAGAACCCTATCGTCAAGAACAAAGATGTTCTCGAAGTGTACACATTGTTGCACATAAATAAAACTCTTTGAGAATAAGTTTAAGCTTCTGTAAGAAAAGATCATGTCCTTTATATATATTAGGAATCGCAAAGCAAAAGTGGTGACTGAAATATGTGATTTTCGTTTTCTTTTTCAACTTTGAGATCTTCAGAGGACTCAAAAGAAATATTGTATTTTCCAAATCTTGAAAAACAAAATTTCTGCAAAACTAAAATGAGCCAAAAAACTGAAATGAGTGAAAAATAGAAATTAAGTTCTTCATATTTCAGAGAACTTGAATGAGGTCTTCAACTCATTTTCTGAAAACACGAAGAACACGTTGGTTTTAGAGTGTAATTGATATTCCGTAGGAGGATTATTCGCTGTGGAATTATGAAAAATTCTATCGCGTGCGTCATAATGATTAAATTCTGAGTATAGTGATGCTTTCAGTAAAAGTCCCATAACTTCATCAAAATAAAAGCTCTTTCGGTCGGGTTTGTTTTGTTTTGATCAAAAATGATTTCTTTTCTATTGCTAACTGCTAAAACAAAACTCTGATTATGTTTTTCATTTTTTGCTTGGGCACATTGTTGAAAACGGAGAAAAAATTTTGAAACTTCATTCTCCTGTACAGCATCTGCCCTAAAACCTTTTTGCAGACCATAAGAAAGAGCATATTCAAAAATACAAAATGAACTGACGGAGCACTTTTGCTACACTTTTTACGGAAATGATAGCAGAAGAAAAAAGTTCAGGTCGAAAAACATACCAAATATACAAAGTTTTCTGTTTTTTTTCATCTTTCGTATAATTTACGTAGTTTTCCCGATTGAAGTTCTGAAGCTGAAGTTTAGGTATGGTTTTGTTCAGTATTTCGTGATACATCTTTTAAAAAAAAACACTAACCATAAGATCCTAAAGGAACACGAGAAAAATAGAAACTACTGACGAGGGAACCTCCTGAGATGCTAAAAACCTTTTTGAATGGGACTATTGTTAAAATGTAGGCCCTCGTGGGCTATGAACCCCAGCTTGGTTGGGGCGCAGTCAGCTTTGTTGCTGAGATATCAAATTTTTTCCGTGGGACCTGACACGGACTTTAAAATCGGAGCTTTCAATTTCATGTTGAAACTTGTCACATATTATAGCCCAGACCGTTTGCAGTCCGGTGAAAAAAGGCCGAGCTGAAAATCTCTTTCCGTTGCAGTGAAAGAACTCTTCCGAAACTTACTTCATGTTTTACCTTTGGTACCTATATGGAAAAAGTTCTTTCACCGCAGCGGAAAGAGGTTTCAGCTCGGTCTTTTTTCACCGGACTACAAACGGTCTCGGCTACAATATGTGACAAGTTTCAACATGAAATTGAAAACACCGATTTTGCTTGAAATCCAGGTCTCATGGGGGAAATTCGAGTAAAAAATCGATATCTCAGCAACAAAACTGATTGCGCCCCAAACAAGCTGGGGTTCATAGCCCATGTAGGCCTACATTTTAAAAACAGTCCCATTCAAAAAAGTTTTTAGCATCTCAGGAGGTTCCCCCGTGAGAGGCTTGTTCGTTATGACGCACACGATAGAAACTTTCATAGTTCTAAAGACAATAATCCTCATACGGAATAGCAATTATACTCATCAATTCCATTTTAGATGAGCATCAATTTGATATAGAATTCATTTTTACATCATTTGTAGTTTGAGCTCTACCACCCTGGAAACGCATTTTTGGTGACTCTATATATCTGAACCGTACTTGAGAAACGAAACACGATTTCCTTCAACTGCTCGTTGCCAAACCGCTTTACTTCCTCCAGCATCAATTACACCTATTATTAATTAAACACTTTAAGATGTTTAACATTCCTATTATTCAAGTGTATATAAATTTCTTGCCTTGAATAACAGACGCTAATAGACCGACAAACATAATTATCGTTTGAAATACGTCTGTCCACATCACAGCTTTCATTCCTCCCTGCGATAAGTCAAAAGTGTATAGAGAGATAGATAGATTTCAATTTTTTATCTAAACGTCTTACCACAGTGGTGTATAAAGTACATATTACACCGATAGAAATAACTGATAACCACACATTGAGACCGGTGACTTTGAAATATCAAGAAAATAGATAACGGTAATTTTATAAAAACGTATGTATTACCTTGACTAAGTGCTAGCGCCGGAGCATAAAGTACAAGTGACATGTAGATTGTCTAAATTGATAGGTAGAAAGAGTAAAATTCTAGGAAATGTTCTTTAGAAACTATAGATGTAGAACATATTTAAATTTTGTTATTATCATAGATATCTCATTAAACATTTTTTTATCTAATCAACAAACTAAAATTGAAATGGTCTATCTTCGTATTTAAATCCTATGATAAAATTTTACCATTTGTGTTGTGAAAATCAATGATGCTACCAGTTTTACATATCTGTTAAAACGTTTCTCAAGATACTAAAACAGAACAAGAAAAAATATTTACAAAATTCTATTTAAAATAATGTGAAGCCATTCGTGCAGAATTTATTCTGTGAAATATCAAGCGAGTGTTGATGATGTTACAATGTGATCATGATAAAAGAAAATTTCACCTCATAAGCACTTGTTACATTAAGTTTAACAAACATGGGCATAAATAATATTGCCGTAAAATAAATTGTAAAAATGTAACTAATACCTTGCGTTAGAAAAACCAATAGAGCTATTGTTTTTAAGGTATCTATAATTTACCTATGACCCAATATTGTGTGCCGTAAACATATATTTCTGCAGGGGTACCCAATATGGTTATGGCGGACATAAAACTTGCTAATAAACTCATAGCAGTTGGAAATATCTACAGAACACGAACAAAATTAAATATATTCTAGAACAAATGAATGCTCTCTAACTCACACCCATCGATTTGTTCCCAAGTAGATAACTTTTTGCTGAAACTTGTTCACCTTTTTTCTTTCGACATCCGTAGAAAAAGCCAATCCCAGCCGATATAAGCAAGAGCAAGGCAAATATAACATAATCAACAACGTCAAATTTTAAATTTTTTGCCATTATGATCTGCACGATCAGTCGACCCCTTTTAAAAATTAAAGTGACATAAGTATAAGCTTAGTTAAGCATATCATCCGAAAAATTAAAGTTGGTTTTGAGTTACTTTTCGTACTACCAAAAGGTTAGGAAAATTTTTCAAACTAATATTTTCTCGGAAAACTGTTTTGCCTCATTTTTTTTCAAAATTTTGGAAGCATTCTTCACCAAAAATAGAAAATCTTCGGTGTTACAGAGTGTGCTAAATACGAAAAAGCACTTTTTAACAACTCAAAACCAACCATATCACCGACAAAAAATCAAAGTTTATTTAGCGTTAAAGCAAAGTGCTTTTTCGTATTCAGCACGCTTGTTAACCTGGAAAATTTTCTATTTTTAGCGAGGGGTACCGCCAAAAAGTTAAGAAAAATTTTTAAAATTGTTTAATTTTACCATGGGGATTTTTCTGCGTCAATTTGTTTGAAAATTTTTCTTAACTTTTTGACAGTACCCCTCGCTAAAAATAGAAAATTTTCCA